CAATTTGACAGGTGTCCTTAGAAATAGGTATGCAGATAGCGTCTGTAAACCTAGTGTTAAATAATTATATATTGGAAGAAAAATCGCGAAGACGAGTGCATGGTTAAGGCGATAACGTGGAATGCGGAATTTTTAATGAAAGTTTTAAAAGATGATTTAGGTCGCGGTTTAACTTCGCGGTCGACGTCTCCGCAGCTGGGACATTCGTCGAAAAATACAGAAAACTACAGGAAATTAGAGAAATAAAAAATTTTGTATATTTACGTATTAGAAGTAGTATTAAACACAAATCAATTTCGACAAATTCTGTGCGTTTTAATGTCCATATATCGACTAAATACTGTACAGAAAAGTAACTGCGAAACGCTAAATTTGCTCTGTCGAAGTCTGTCGACCGCAAAGTGTTAATGTTAATAATATGGGAAAAATTATCCGCAAATTCTTTTTATCCCATAAGTTTTACCTGCTTACGCGAGAAAGGAATACGTTACAATGACAACCGAAATATGGAAATGAAGGATGACGAGTGTGGTTAAGACGATAACATTGAATGCGGAAAACGGTGGTTTAGTGTTAATAATTTGGAAAAAATTACGTGATTTTTGATGAAAGTTATTTGATATATTTTCAAAATTGTGTCATTTAATTCCAACACACCTAATACTATATCCAGTATTCAATTTTTATTTTTTTATTTTTTTTAAATTGAAGGCTTAACGTCGCATCGACAACAAGGTCATTAGCGACACATATTCAATTTTATTTAACATTTAATTTAATTTAATTTATTAATTTAATTTTATTTAACATTTAAAGCAAAACGAAACAAAGCGACTGTCATTTTGTTGTAAATAATAATATTCTTCGAATATAAAATCAAAAAGAGGCAATATTGTTTAAATCCTGTTTTCAAGAAAATTAGAAAAATTAAATTCCTAAATTTCTCGCACGTTATTCATGTTTGATTATTTAAATTATGTCCCTATTTATCATTTCGTCTCAAATTGTACCCACCCAACGATGGTACACGCTGATGGCACGTGTTCCCACGAAATGGTACCGGCAGACGAAGATGCAGATGACTTTCTATCGGTATAAATGGCGAAGACGGTAGAAAAAACGGAAAGGCTGAAACGTCGAAGCGATCTATCGAGGAATTTGAATGGCACACGAGAGAAAAAGATTTCGTTCTCCGTAGCGTGAAAGTACACGAAACTCGATAAACAATAAGTCATTAATTGCTAATTGCGGTCTGTAAACGGGTGAAAGCGTCGCAGGTATCGAAGTTAATTTGCGATACGAAATGGTTGTCAAAGATCGAACGGGTCGGTTGAAAATGGAACGAGGAAGGTGGAAGCTATATTACGAACCTTTTCGTTGCTGCCATTGATCGCTTCTAGAGCTTTCAGTTTCTCGATCTCATCGATCTCATCGGTCCCCTTTTCCAACGTGGACGCCTTTTTCGTTGCCGTGGTCGGTTCCACCAGCGTGAACCCGAGGTCCACATCTTGCTTCCATAAAACTTCGATTAGATCCATATCCTGAAACAATGGGCGGGTTTTTGTGAGAAAATTCTCCACGAATACGTAGCCAAGTATGGTTAAGATGGCAAAGATGGCAAGTTTTATTTACGATTTAACATTAGAATTACCGACCGGTAATACTAACAATAATATGCAATGATTTTTGTCAATATTTTGTCAATATCTCCTGTATAATAAACGAAAAATTAAATTTTCTTTTTCCTTTTTAATTTATACTAGACTGATTTAATATATATATGTGCATTCTATATTTATATTATTGCATTTTATATCTAGGGAATTATAGTAATTTTTTATAATTGCGAATTATTACGTTTGGTTGAAACTTTTTGTAAAGGGTAGTGCGTATATTTGAATATGAATTTTACTAACAATGAGATGTAATGATTTTTGTCAATATTTTCTACTCGATAATAAACGACAAATTAAATTTTCTTTTTCCTTTTTAATTTATACTAGAGTGATTTAATATATATATATGTGAATTTTATATTTATATTATTGCATTTTATATCTGGGGAATTATAGTAATTTTTTATAATTGCGAATTATTACGTTTGGTTGAAACTTTTTGTCAAGGGTAGTGCGTATATTTGAATATGAATTTTAGTAACAATGAGATGTAATGATTTTTGTCAATATTTTCTACTCGATAATAAACGAAAAAATAAATTTCCTTTTCCCTTTTTAATTTATACTAGACTAATTTAATATATGTAGGCGTTTTATATTTACATTATTGCACTACACATCTGGAGAATTATAGTAATTTTTGATAATTTCGAATTATTACGTTTGGTTGAAACTTTTTGTCAAGGGTAGTCGTATATTTGAATATGAGTTTTAATTAATGATATCAATTAATTAAATATTTGATTTTGTCTAAAGAGAGTGTAAAAATAAAAATCGGAATAAGTAATTTTGACCCTTCCAGCAAATCTAGTGTTAAATAAATTGTAACAATTTGCAAATAATTTTATTTATCTATTTAACTATTTCTTAAATATACAGGAAAGGTTTTTGTATATAATAAGATATATTCGGTCGAATAGATAACAATATAAAACAAAAATAAAAATAAAAACGAAGGGGAGATATAAATAACATAGAAAATAAGGTAATAATATAAAAAATAGTGTAAACAATAATACATAAAAAATAATATAATGTAAATAATAATAAAAAAATAATGTAAATAATGGAATTTAACTCTATGTGCTATTGATGATAGTTCAGGAGACAGATTTTTAAAATTTCCCAAACGAATTTGAACAGTTAACAATATTACAATTTTTTGAAATAAAATGTAGGAATGATTGCGTAAACTATATAACAGAGATTTATAAAATTCATTATTACTGGAAGTGTGTTTGAATTGAAAAAATTTCTCATTTCAAAGAACGAGGTTCAGAAAATTTCCGGATTCGTGAAAGTGTCCTAAAATTTTAAAAACATCGTGTTTTTTGAAAATTTCGAGCCATAAAACGGTAAAATTATACATATAATATAGAGCAAAAATAAATGATAAATAAGCCTAATATCTAATTTCAAATTTATGTATGAAAGAAAAATTAATTTTTCTGTACGTTCCTTGATAGTAATTAATAATAGCGTTAAGCATAATTGTATTATCAATTCAATTAAAATTACATATAATAGAAATTAATAGAAAATAATGCATGAAATAAATGATAGACAAGTATAACATTTTTCTGATTTTTCTATATTTGTCGATAATAGATAATTAATAATTTAGTTAATAATAACGATATTTTAAATCAAATAATATATTAATTATATTAAATAATAATTCGTGATACTCTATTCACGCTACCCTATTTCAAAAGTAACATTTCCTTTCAAATAATTAAATTACATCACAGTGATCCTCATATCACGCAAATCAAATACATTTTAAAAATCTTCATAATCTTCTGAACTCTCGAGCACCTTCGAGATTTCCAACATTCTCGATTAAAAACGTGCTATAAAGATCTCACCTCGATCTCAAGGAAAAAATTTCCATCTCGACCTGAAATTCTCGAGTTCTCGCACACCTCTAATTACCAAACGCAATGAAACACAGAATAAAGTACAGATACCAAATTTAAATTCAGAAATTCACGATTTTACAACGAAACAAATTTTTCCAAAATTACACCCACTCGTTTCCCTTTCATCGGAAGAATCAATCGAATTTCAAACCAAATTTAAATTCAGAAATTCACGATTTTACAACGAAACAAATTTTTCCAAAATTACACCCACTCGTTTCCCTTTCATCGGAAGAATCAATCGAATTTCAAACCAAATTTAAATTCAGAAATTCACGATTTTACAACGAAACAAATTTTTCCAAAATTTCACCCACTCGTTTCCTTCTAATCGGAAGAACCGATGGAATTTCAAACCAAATTTAAATTCAAAAATTCACAATTTTACGACGAAACAAATTTTTCCAAAATTACACCCACTCGTTTCCCTTT